TGAAGAACCTAGAATATAAGACATATTTTCAGTTGTTTCACACTTTTTTGTTAAGTATATAATTCCACATGTGTTAATTCATAGTTTTGATGCCTTCAGTGTGAATCTACAATTTTCATAGTCATGAAAATAAAGAAAACTCTTTGAATGAGAAGGTGTGTCCAAACTTTTGGTCTGTACTGTAAACAAGTGACAAAAGATAAGATATTGTGTTACAGATGTTAATGATTAATTTTTTTAATCCATTTTTTGTCAAAAATGCCATGTCCAGGACGCCCCAGTCGTTCAACAGGTTGAGCAGATGACCCTATAACAGGGGCTTTAGTCCCCGACGCAGCGACCGTGGGTACGAATCCAGCCTATGGCTCTTCTCCCAACTTACCTGTCTTCCTCTCTCTACTGTACTGTCAATAAAAACAATATGTACAGTATATTAGTGATGCACAATAGTAACACAAATATCTGATACTGAGGTTTCTGATATCGCCAGATATTACCGATGTCGATATTCAATTTTTGTTCACACCAAATAATGAATATAAGTGAGCACTATGAGAACGTGAAAATTACCACATAGTCGTCTTTATTAAGTAGCAAAAGTAAAACATATTTAAACATATTTTAACATATTTAACGTTCAAGTCCAGGACCATTTAAGTAAAAACATCGTTGAAATAGCAGCAATATCAAATGTATCGGCCTACACTGAAGTGTATATCATGCATATATATATATCAAACAGTTGTTGTCACTGCTTACCAGTCTGCTGGGGTTTTGTTCCACTTACTGTCACTCTGATCATCTCCTCTGATTCTTCTTGAGTACGGTGGCCAAACGTCCTGTTTTCCTAGGACATGTCATGTTTTCACTTCCTGTCCTGGCCGTCCTGGTTGTTTTTTATACAGTGACAACAATTTTATGTCCATAAAGAGGATGCATACTTTGAATGTATTTAAATTATAAGGCATCTTTGAGTAAACTTCAAGTGTCATTTGAGTGTCTCATTGTCGGGCCGAGTGTCCTGGTTTTTGGTAATCAAAATATGGTCACCTTATTCTTGATAAGACTCAGGTCTGGACTCCAACATGTTGAAATTGTTTCCTGTTCACCTATTTTTTGACTCTGCTTATATGATTTCAGATTGTTGTCTACAACTTACAAGGTCAGATGCTTTTCTCTGATGTTGCCTGATATTGTCCTCCTGAATCTCTCCTGTCTACTTTGATGAGGTTCCTCCTGAATCTCTCCTGTCTACTTTGACAAGGTTGTCTGACCCACTGGCTGAAAACCACCCCCAGGAAATTACATTCCCACCATCACATTTGATTGTGGAGATGATAACACAATGGTTATCCTTTCATTCACTAAACCAGAGCTACGTCCTTGTATCCCCACAACTCTATTTTCATGTCACATGACCAAATAATTGGTGCCCAATTGCTTTCTTTTTTGACAGGTTTGCTTTTGTGTGCCTGTCTTGAAAATTGGAGTTGTCCACGGTTGGTGTCTGTGACGGTCAATTTAGTTCAGTGTCTTCTGGAGTGTCTGATTAAAATGTTGTTACCAGGAATACTTACAGTAATCAGGACGGTCAGGGTGGGGTGGTGGTCCTTGGACTCTTGTTGGCCTTCACCTTGCTACCAGCACATAGGTTGCATCTGGCTTCTCACTATTACCTTTGCAATTTTTCATTGCATAGAACTCTTTGTTCTTTATGATGATGCTTTGCACCGTGGCCACTGGCACTTAAGAACAATTTGATATGACTTTATAACATTCCCCCCATCTTGTGAGCAGGGTTACTCAACTAAAAACTCACTATGAATTAGGTAATTACATAAATATTTGTACAATTTTCACATTCCTCACCATCTGCTTTGGCAAAATGTGTTCAAACCTATGTGTACTATCTCAAGTTAGGGGAAATTGCAGGAGAGACAGGAGAGAGGAGAGATTTCTGTGCAAATCACACTCAAGGTTGGAAAGTTCCAAATATAATCAATCCTTTTGCTCAATTCAAGATCCCTTGCAGTCCACACTTCAGGGTGTTAATATTTCATTGAGATAATAAAAATGCTTGTAGTTTCTCTCTCGCTCTCTCTCTGTCTCCCTCCTTTTATGCCATATAAATTTGGTGTGGAAGAACACTTATTATTCTCTATGCATTTTAAAGTCCTTCTGGAATTTAATTGAATTTAATCTTTGATAGGATGATAAAGTTCAGCTTATTACTGAAAGTCTCCATTCAGGCATTGATAAATCCATAACAATTCGTCTCTGTGTACCAAAAGTACATGTTAACAAGGGTCTTTCATGATAATAATCCTTATCTACCTTAAATTGGCTTGGATGTAACTTTATACTTATGCCTTTACAATGTCCCTGCTGCTTTCTCCACTCACCCCTCTGCCGCTCACTGCAGCTCAAGCACACCAGCTCACCTATGACTCTGCTCAAACTGTAAAACTACTCCACGCTACACAATGACAAGTTGTCGTTTTGGAGTAATTCTGCCATACATCCTACATAGATACATACATCAAACTGACACTGGAGCTGAAAATAATACAGAACGCTCCACCATCAGGTTACCAGGATTGGTTCCTGCAGAAACATCCAGCTTACTAACTTACTTTAGTTTCTGTGCTGCAAACAACTTCTCTAAATTACACCAGGAACGGACATCGCTACTCATGACATTCTAGGAACAATTCCTGAAGCAGACTTCTGACTGACTTGAGACACTTGTATTGCTGAAAAGAAATATTTATTTGACATACTTCCTCAGATTACCAGTTCCTGAGGTACCAGTTTACAAAGTCAAGTTTAACAGTCCCAGCAGAGAGAAGAAGGAGGAAAGAAAGACATCACATAATTCAGTTTATGTTAAACTTTGAAATTTCCTACTTTTATTTTACTGAAACCTTTTTTGGTTTTGCTTTTACACTTTTAATAAACTTACAAGGAAAGACTTACACATGTAATTCAAATTTAATTTTTGAATTTTTGCATAAAAAAAAATTAAATAATTCATTACAGTTTTTTTCATTTCTATGTCATACAAGTTGGCTGCACTACTCACTGATTTCACACTTATTACTCAGACAAGGACATTATAACTGTGTAAAATCTTAAACAATGCATTAGGTCCAAATGCAGTTAAAACCAACACAGCTAATGCTGTACATTAAGGACAGTGTGTGTTAGAATATCATCTATTTTAAAACATGTTACAAATGTGTTTTTCTTCACATTTAATATAAATATTGTCATTATTTTTTAATATTCATTTTTATCGTCATCTTCAGTCAATGAGCCGTCAATTACGCACAAAAAATACCATAGGAGCTACACACGAGTGAATCCTTGACCTTCTAAAGATGACAAAGCACTCAATAGTAAGCTGAAAAATACATCGAAATGGAAGCACCTTCAGGAGAACACAAAGAACTTGTTGCACACAAGCTGTATAATTTTTAAGTGCTCCCAATGAATAAGTCAACAATGAAGCAGAAAAGTATAGAACCCAGATTCTTCTTGTATGAAATAAGAGCACAGAGTCATAGAATAAAACAAACAAACAAGCATACATACACATACAGTGCACAAGACAATAAAGCATCACAATAAAACAAATCACTTTCAAAAATTTGTCAACATCAACCATTTTCAGAATATACCCAGAACGTCTTTCCTCAGACTCTCAGAATCACACCATGTGCAGCTTTTGGAATGATCTGACTATATGTCAATGATTCTCATCCCAATCTTTTCTGAACATTCATTTCTCATCTATTTTATAGTCTTTATAGGTACTGCCTGATGTTTTAAGTGTACAACACATGTCTATCATTTCTTTGTATCATAAACTTGATGTCCGAGTGTAAATTCTTAATCTGTGCTTCTCAGTTTGTCCAACCTCAAAACATAAATCAAGAGTGAAGTACTATTAGGCCTCCA